GAAAATCCACCATGCAAAGCTATACAAGATGCGGACGGATAAAATCTCGTCCATACTTGATTCATCAATATGGCTGCGATACCGAAACATTATCTCGCAAGGTGAAGCACGATACTGTAACCTCCAAAACAGAAATATGTTTGGAGGTGAGAAAGTGCCAACAGTGTGAGGAACGTGTGAAAACGGCAGACTATCTAGCAACGCAGTGCGAGAAAATGTGACATTACGATTATACTAGAAGACACAATGAGGTCCTACGATGCTTGCACTTGGGACTCTGCAAGAAATATGGTCTGAAAGCATTCCCACGCTTGCGAAGCCATTCTGTTCAGGAGGTCATCGCGAATGAGAATGTCGAGATCACAGTCGATACGCGAGTAAGAATTGCAATCAGAATAAAAGCGGATCATCGGATATCATGATACGCGACAAGAAGCGACGTGAAGTAATCCTGATTGAGGTTGGCATTACCAAACAAGATAGGTTGACAGCAGTCGAGACCGAGAAAAAGCGAAAATATGACCTATTTGCTAATAAGCTTGGGTCAGAGATGAAGTGCAGGCAAAAATAATTCCGTATGTGATGATTTAAGATGGAAATGTAACGAACTTTCGTAAAGGTATACGAAAAGAATCAATGTATCTAGTCACATCGAGGTGTATATCCAATCGATAGTGCTCAATAAGACGCTCAAAAGCATCTCATTCGATCATTGCCTGTGGATTCAACGAAGTCGAAGTAACGGAGATCAATGCAGCAGAACTGAGCGTAGGGCAATTGCAGCGAGAATGCAGAATACGACCCAGCGCCAGAATCAATAATGACGAAAAAAATTTCCGTATGATATTGATTTCTTATATATATGTAAATATATATTTATATTTATTTATTTATTTACTAATTTATTTATTTATTTATTTATTTATTTATACTAATTAACTAGCACTAAAATATGATAAAATAAAAGTAACAAAAAGTTAACGTTAAAGTAACATTTTGTGCATTGAAAATTTTTCAAAATATATTCTATAACAGCAAATAGAGATGTATTTTTTAAAATTAAAACAACTTACTAAAAGACACAGAAAGAAGGAAAAATTTGGAGAATAGAGAAAATGAAAAATGACGAAAAAATAAAGAAAGGTAGAACAGTTGTCTGAAAGCAACGACAAATCCACTCTTTCTTCTCCGATCGCATTTTGCACCGTTTAATTGATAAGAGTTATCAGCAGAGTTCACTGATAATCAAAGCTTGTTGAAGAAATCAACTGTTGCTAGATTGATTAAATTTCATATTTTATTATTAAAATTTCTGTGCTAAAATTACTAGTTGCTTTCATTATTTTTTGTTTATTTGTTTATTATGTTATTGCTTAATTTAAACATATTTAGTATTAGTAATTGAAAATATTATATAGATTTGATAAATTAGATTAAAGATAAATGTTTGAACTTAGTTCATTTATTACTTTTGCATTTGATATCAAAAGTTTGATCATTGTATAAAATTGATCAATGATCACTGATTGGATAAAGATCAGTGAAGAATTGCTTTCGCCATTGATTGATCGAATAATAGTAATCATTTGCAAAGAAAAAATAAAGAAGGAGTTTGATTAAGATTCTGCAACCTTTTCTTACAAGAAATATCTTTTAGATTCAATTTATTGCTGACAAAAGTAAAATTCTTTCATAAAATAGTACTGAATTTTTGGTCTGCGAAACTTTTTTGTATTTTGCATGCTAAAAAAATCTTAGTGAGAAGTTGGGAAAAAGACAAAAATGCCCTGTGACCCGAATTTATATTTTAAATTTAACCCTACTAATTTTTCCTTATCAATCAAATTCTCTTTGTTTACTATTCATATTGCTATTATTCATTTCTTGTGAAGTCAGAAATTCGCAATAATAATATGTTAACGTGTTACATTACAACGATTAATATCATTACTGTTATTATTATTGAATTAATATGACAATAATAATAACAGTAATGATATTAATTGTTGTATATTGTGTTGTTTTTAGCTAAAATATCAGAATGATTTATTTGTTTCAGTAAATCTTCATAATTTTTACATTTCTGCACTTGTTCGTCAAACATTTTTTCCTTCGAATAACACTCTTACAAAATGTAAACTCTTCAATGTCTATTCTCGACAATAACTTCCCTAAGATTAATAGTTAAGAAATGCTTTGTGCTTTTTTGCTCAAGCAAAATTTTTAGCTTACTTATACAGCAATAAATAAGCTTCAAATGTAAGCTACTTTTTTTCAAAACTTAATTTTGATTTATGAAAAGTGTTAGCTATTAAATATTCAGATCAAAATAGTTAATTTTCTTGCGCAGAGCTAATAAATATTTAAATCAAAATGATCAGTTCTGTTGCGTAAAATATTTTTATTAATTAAAAACAAATCAACTCAATTACAAAACTCATCTATCATTGGTACTTATCAAACAGAAATAATATTATCGCACTGATCTAAATTGCCTCCCAGAATAATGTTATGATACGAAATTGTTTGAACAAATTCTGTGTGACTTAATTTTTATTGCGCAGAAACTTTTGTCTGTGTAATTAATTACAAAGCTTCATTTGATAACTTTAACTAGCAAAGTTTTGTATGCGATTAAAAAAATACAAATTCTCCTAGTTTCAGTCATTTTAATTCTAATTAAATGCACAAATAATTCAAATTAAATACACAAAAAAGTTTTTAAGTATAATTTGTTGTTAATCTCTCAAATTACTTTTGCTATTTTTTCGCGCAATAAAGTAAGACAACGTAAAATCAATCGGAATATATGTGTTAGAATTAAAAGTAAGTAAAAGCACTTATAATAAATGATATAATTTTGAAAAATTAAATATAATGAAAAAATTTTAAATCGTTAATTTTGCTAATCAGAGCTTTCACCTGAATGTGATTTTACGACTTTGTTTTTATTGAAAAATGAGTAAGGAAAGAAAATTTTTTTATTCGCTATTTTACGTGATGTGATTGTTTTGCTGGATTAGTTCAAAGTAAACAAGAAAAAATGAAATTTATTTTTATACTGTAAGTATTACAGTTTGTATGTAATTTTCAAGGCCACTAATTTTTTATATCAAAATCCCAGAAGTATTCTAAAAATAACTTGAAAAGAAGTCCTAAAAAATACTTTAAAAAATTATTAAAAGTTATTAAACTTATTAAAATTATCAAAAAAAAAACTATTGCAAAAATTTTTAAAACAATTACTCAATGTTAGTGACCTAATAATGGAAAATGTTTCTAAGATTTGTCATTAAATTTTTTTTTAGTCAAATTGTCTTGACAAATTTAGATTTCAAATATATTGGTAATCATAAATTGAATTATTACTAATAATTTTGTTTTTCTCACACAGTTTTGTAATGTCATCCATAGCTTTGACAGTATTAAAAATTAAGTAATCAACTTTTTCGTGCAAGCCATAAAAATGTCACGTGTAGTTTTCTAAACTAAATACGTAGTTAAAATGGACAAAGTTAAAAATACAAGCAGGTTCAAATGGATACAAGCAAGCTCAAAGTGTATATTTCTAAAATGAAGAAAAAGATTTAGCTTGTACTGGTGATTTCAATTTTTAGTCCAAATAAAGTTGCAGTGAACACTAACAAATTCAACAAAATTATAAATTATATCACAATTTGCAGAAATAATTAAAAACTTTAAAAGTGAAAGACAGATTTTGTCAAAAAACTTATAAATATGACAAAAAATTAATAAATCAGATTTTTCATCTTAAGCAATCACTTAATCCGTAAAAACTTTTAATTAAGTTATCAAAACTTAGCAGTAAATAATCTTTAGTGATTTTGCCATTTCTGCAACAAAATAAGCAAAAAAGAAGCAAAAAAAAAGTTTTAGTTTTTTAAATTAAATTTAAGCATTTATATCTACAATAATTTTTCAGCATTTGTTCAAAATTTAATTATAAAATAGCCAAACTTTGAAATGAGTCAAAGTATTATTATCGTTGATTAAATTAAAATTAGCACATAAATTTGAGTGTATTGCAAAGTATATTTAGCTTAATTGAATAAATTTAATAATATTTTCATGAAAATC